AGGCGAACTAATCTTTATGCCAAACCAATGTTACAAAAGATGTCCATGGCTCAACAAGAGAGTAAAATATCTCTTTATTACTAGTTAAAGTTTTCTTCCATTTTTTTATTGGGCAAAAAAGCATTATTTTAGAGTAGTTGGAGGAAATTTTCATACAACACAAATAAACCCACTTAAGTTCGCAAAAGTAATACAGCTTAATAAGTTAAATAAATAACTAAATAAACATATATGATGAATAACCTTGTATGCATTATGTGCATATACTCAAGAAAGTTTCAACTTCAAAATAAGGAGAAAAGTGCCAGATGTTTTTAGTGATCAATAAGGTGCAAGAAATGAAAATAGCAGAGACTAAGTGATTACACATCCAACAAAAAGGTAAATTCAGGAAACCCTTGTATATACTTCTTCCTGTGGACTTGATCATAATGGAATTAAGTACAATGATTGAGCGTAAGGCATCCTTTAATAAAGGGACAAAAAGAAAAACCAAAGGGGGGTAATCAAATCAACTTAACCCTTCCAAGTTACAAATCCACTTCATATAGAACCAAAGTGCGAGAAATGAAAAATTACCCGAATATCTATCATTCTTCTAAAATTAAAGATTCCAAAAAACTTCAAAACAGTCATGTTGATTGTTGCCACAGCATCGCCACTAATTTTTCCATCAAACACCTCAGAAAATAGCTTAAAATAAAAGAATTCAAGGGCCCATTTGCTTAAGCTTTACAAAAAGGGCCTGTAAAAGATCTCTTCTCTTAGAACATCTTTTCAAAAGCTATTATTTTTAGGTTACGAGAAAAGCATCCTTTTAATACTTATAATTACAATACAAAAGAGCTAAATAATGCAAAAACAAATGGCTTTAGTTTAGACTAAGTAAAGCTCACAACACAATGCGTTATAGAGGATTACTAAGTAACAGCAAATCTTTTTACTTATCCTAGATTACAGCATCCAAAAAAGGGATGAAGTAATTGGTTGGTCATGGGTTGAGTGAAAACAAAAAATAAAAACAAGAAATGAATAAACACATAAAGGGGCCCTAAATTTCCATAAATGACTATTATTCTGTAAATTACCAGACACTTGACCAGAGAGAGAAAATAATAGACTTCAAATTCATGCTGAAAGTTGAAACCTTAGATAATGAGTCAAGAAAGGTCATATCCTTAGCACTAGACATTTCTAGGATTCCATATAACTGGAGGTTAGAACACGTATCCTAGACCTTAACCTTGTAATCTGACTTTTCCCAAATCACTTAGAGTAAGAAAATTGATTTTACTATTCTTCTACAGGTCATATTTTAAAAACTAAACATATGATTGACTTAACAATTTTCCAAATCTCTTATCCTTGATTGTTTAGGGTGTGTTTGGTAAAGTAGAACATAGAAGGCGTGAATGTGAATTTTTCAACACATAGTGTGTCAAAGGGGAATCCCACATTTTCATTCAATAATCAAGCCCAGTTACCAGCTTAGTCTTCAAGCTGCCAGTTGGACCTAATAGCATTTAGATTAAAAGAGTATAAACCTCCTTGGAGAAACCATAGATGCTCCTTCACTAATCAGATTCAGTTCACACTTCAATTTGAAAAAATGAAAATTATTTCATTCAACTTAAGCACAAGCCAGAAATGCTAAATGCTTCACATATTATTTATCACAACATCAGATGTTTGTGTCATTTATAATAAAGATGGGGGAAATGAAGAGGCCATTAAAAAGTATATCTAATTCACTAATGTCAATCATAAAATATTACGTATCAGGAATTCCCAATGATAACATCTGATAAACAAGAGAGTTAAAATTTAGCATTCAAGCAAAAGAGAAGTTGGTGTAGAAAATAAAATATTTAAATACCTGGGCTCAAATTCTCGAATTTCAACAAGCTCGCTACCACAGTTATCAGTCCACTGCACTTTCCTTCTTTCTGCTTGACCACCAGGAGCACAAATCCCCTGTCCACCTGCTGCTTCCTGCTCACTAGCAGCCTCAACATGAACGGGTTTAACAATTTGCGGCTTCTTTATGCTACTTTTAAGTGTAAGCTTTCTATTATCATTTCCATCATCGAGTGGTGCGGAAGGATCATTTCCCTTGTTGGAAACCAAAGGTCCTGGAGAGACTTCATGCTGCTGGGCAGGGCCCACTTTAAGAGGAGACGGAGTATCAAGACCTGCGGAAGTGCGACCAAAGCAAACAAAGGAGGCACAGCCGCGGGTGAGGCGATTCTTTGTAGAAGCCAGCTGGAGCTCGCGGTCAGTTTCTTGGTCTACCAACTGGTACTGGTTCCACGGAGCTACTCTCATGGGTTTATCCTCATCCCTCTGACCCAAGAGGAGAAGGCTCAGGCCCTTAGTATACCCTGAAGCCGAAGCAGAGAAGAATCCTCCTCCTTCTACTGCCAATAACATCAGTTCTTCTCATCGGTGCACCATAAAATGATTTCTATGTGAGGCTCCCTTCTCTCTGAAGAACCTAACAGCCTTATCAACCAAAAGTAACCAGAGATCAGAATGATTTCCTTCAGTTATAAAATTTTTAACATTCTTAACAATACTTTTCATTCCACTAACTCTTTCAACTATTATAAAAGCTCATTTCATAGCAAAAACACGGATTTGAAAAGCCTTGAGAGTTAACGGAAGCGCAATCTCACAGAACTAGAACCATTTCGAGGCATCCTCAAGTTTCCAGATGCTCAAAACGTGCTGAATCTGTTGTTCAAAGTAAACACATAATAAATCCACGCAGCTAAAATTGCCACACTTTGAGATACGATTTTAGCCAAAATCATCAAAATATTTGGACAAAAGAAAGCTCGAAATCCACACTACTCGCTTTATTAATACTCCCAGGCATCTTATATAATCCGTCATGTATATTTTCTTACCATCCTACTGAGCATGCATATGATACACACATAAATAAACAATTTCCGTCGATTCACTACCGAGACAGAAAGATCTCTACTTCAATGCAACCACTCCGAAAATACGTTAGTGCGCAATTTCTCGAACACAATAAAAAAATCCAAGAAACCAAATTAAATTGCTAAAACCAAAAAAAGGTAAGATAAAAGAAAAGAAAGCTTCTGAGTTACTTGAAAATGCATGAGAAAGAAAATCAGAAACACCGAGCCCCGAGCACACTGAAATCACACTCAAATCGAACAACGCAGAGCGAGATTTCGAAGTGTCGGTTTTCCAACACTTCTCCGAGAAACAAACTGCAAATCCTAGATCGAAGAAGAAGGAACGAGTTTACAGTACCGAGAATCAGAACGGAAGGTCGCCGGCGCGTGGATGGACAGCAACGATTCGGAGCATCCGGACGAAAACTCGGCGAGTGATTGAATTGAACGATGAATAAGAAGGAAAAAAATCCGATTATGTATATTTTTCTTCTGGTTTCAATTATTTAAAAGGAGAATAGGACAGTGACCCACACGGCGCATGATAGCGACGTGACCCATTCTTTAATGTGCGCAATGGCATGTTATGTTTTTTTATTTATTACTTAATTTGTCTAACATAACTGTTTTATTTTTTAGCTGTTCTTATTTATTTCTTCTGTAGTTAAAGAATGGTTAATTTTAATCCTTGTTTGTTATGCTTTCTTTCTCGAGAAAAAATCGTCACGACAAATCTAGAAAGCAAGTCTTTTAAGTAGTTAAACAAAACTGGTTCAATAATGATTAAACAAATGATGTGTGGAAAATTTTAGAAAGAAAAATACTATCCAAACAGTGTAATTACACGTCACTCTGCTTTTTGTGTGGTTAACCTAAAGCGAAGATAAGACGTCAACTAAAATGGTAGACATGATGAAATTGATATATGGAAATTGGTTCGTTCAGCTTTTTAACAACAAAAGAGGGATCAAATTGAAAAAAGAAATGTTTTTCAACCTTAATTAAGATATGTTTACTAAAAAAACTCCAGTAAGTAAGTTGTAGTTATGGATACAATATGTCTCCCCAAGTACACATTAATTAAAGCTGACATTTTTATAATTAAATCAGACATAAAGGTTTTTTTAAAACAGTACTGTATTCTTATTGGCCAGATTCCCCTATTGGGTAAAGTGGAAACTTTTTGTTATTTAATGTCTCAAAAGTATGTTGAGCCAATTATTACAACAGATGAAATGAAATTGTTTGTAGTGTGAGTTATTAGATTTTTCAAATATCTGTAACAGTAAAAGAAAACTGTATCACGTTTATAGTGAGAAAAATGACTTGAGAATGTGATAGTTTTTGAGGTAAGTTGCGTTTGAGTTTGGGTCCAATTTCAGAAGGAAGAGGTTGGGCTGTAAAAATGAACACAGAATAGTGGCACTTTTGAAAGCAGTGGTAGAAGCTAATGTTTCCTCTTTTGAGAATATTTCTGTAGCTGCTACACATTTCTTCCAAAGCAAAACAGGGGAACAAGTAATCCTAAATTGTGAGGAGTGGAATATATTCTGGAAAGCAAGGGTCCAAATTTGGCATTCTGAAATGAAAAGCTAAGGTCCAAAATTCTCACTTCCAAACAAAACCTATGATAATGGAATGAATAGAGTTTCTGACCTCGTGAACATCATCATCCTCACCATTTGCACACTTTCCCATGGGAGAGTGAGATTATCTCAGCAGCAAATACATGGTTGCTCGTTTTCATGCAGTACACCTTACTACAACACAACACAAAAGTTGTTTTCACCAGAGATTTTCTATTCCTCTCCTTTGATTTCTGCACCATGGACTTTTAAATTATCATAACATCTCATCACCCTAATCATTCCTACATGTTACGCTATAGTATTAATACCAAATAAAATATGAGGAAAATCAGGAATGTAGGTATAAATTCATCCCCGTTCAATGAAGGAAGAAAACAAGTTTTAGCATGGGAGTGATTTGACTTTTTCATACAAATTTATGTTGGGAATTACAAAATTATGGTTGAATTTAAGTGAGTTTAATTTTTTTTTAAGGAAGGATAAAAAACAATTGAATATCATATAAAAAAAATTCTAAATTTTTGTCTTAAAGTTGAGATTGTGTTAGTATTATTCTTTTATATAAATGGAACTCTTGTTTTATTGATTTTGTTTCTCTTAAAGAGATTCATTCTATATTTTTAAAATTGTATAACAAGGTAATTTTGTTATCAGTAATGATATCAAACTTACTTTATTAACTACGTTCCAGTTTCTTTTTTTTACCCTCGTTTTTTTATTAAGAATTTTGTATTGGTTTATTGAATATGAAAGCACTTATAAGTTTTTTCTAATTTTTATCTGAAATGAAAGGATCTCTCAAAGTTCTAAAAGATTTCTCTTAAAATAAAGGTCAAATCTTAATGATATTATAAATTGAAAATGTACTGATATAAACATAAATTTGTAATTATTAAATCATTATTTGTTAATCCACATATTTCAAGTAATTCTCTTAAGAAATGCATATTAGTTTTGAGACTTCTTTTATTTCAAAACTATAGTTCAAATTCAAGATATGAGTTGTAATACTTTTATAATTTTGCTTTATTTATATTACCAGTGACTAAAATTTGCACAACTGACTCGTTAAATAAGAATATTTCAGTTTACCAATATAAGATTGTTGCAATATCTCACAAGTGGCTTGTATCGGAGATGTTTCCGATAATAAAAAAAAATGTCAAAAAAAAAAGTTTTCCAAATACCTGACCTAACTTTGCTTGTGCAAGTGGTACAGCTTTACATAAATAATCAAAATTACAAATTATTTTAACTACTTAAATATAATATAATACTCTGTATTTATAGTTATTATTTTTCAATAACTATTTCCCACGCATACACTGATAAAGAAAAAGCATACATACCATGAGAATTAAACCTAATTTTAAATCTGTATATATAATATTGATGTAATGATGTAAACACCTTTTGATGTTTGATTGTTTCTTGCAATTTGGAGAATAAGAACGTGCTGAGACTTTTAATATTGTAAAGTTGTTAAAACCTTGCTACGAACCAAACAAAAATTGTTAATCTCCATACACAAATAAATGGTGTCCCCTCTGTCCCTTATATATAATATAAAATGAGAGATGTCATTTAAAACTTGTATATGCAAATCACTTGTATTGTCATCTTAATGAGAAAAGAGAAATATATATATATATATACTATATAATCAAAACCCATAATGATTGAAGCTTAATAATAGGATGGTTATACTTTCGGATTATAATAAATATTCATTCGTTATTTATTTTGTTTTCATCGAAAATTTTTTAAAAAAAAAAAAATACTTCTAATATTTTAAATTTGTAAAAATCTTTGGATATTGAAATTATTTAAAAAGAACTTTCATAATATTTTTAAAATAAATTTACAAAAAGTAAATTAAAATGAAAGAAAAATTAAATAATATCAATTAAATTTTTAATTTTAATTCAATTTAATCTAATAAAATAAAATTAATTTTAATTTTGATTAATTAATAATAAATATAAATTTTAATTTTTTAATTTTTATATAAATAATGATCTATATAATACTTACAACTGAAACTTTACTTATAAACTGATATTAAAAATAATTATTACGTACAATAATAATATAATACATACTAATTATCTATCATAAATTTTTATATCCGTAATCACATATACTATACAGTGTTAAATAGGTATAGAGGGGAAGTAACGATTATCTGTCTCTCTTTTTTCAATAATTATATTTTATTATATGTTGGCTAAAATATTTTTATTTAAATTCCCGATTTTATGGTATCAATTTTGATTTTTTTTTTTATTTTTAAATTAAATTGAATGTAACTTACATACCATTTTAAATATTTTTTATTAGATTTGTATAAACATTGATCACACAATTTTTGTACTGTGTCACGTGTAGTTTATATTTTTTGTTTAAAAATTTATTTATATTTTTTAATTTTTGTTTTTTAGTTTTTTTTTATTATCAAGTTCATGATATGTTGCATAATGGTGTTATTGTTATATGACATCCTATATGTCAATGTCACTTTTTTTAATAATGGTATTAACAATGATATGTGACATTGATATTATCACATGACATAACATTCTCATATGGCACGACATGAATCTAACAAAAGATCAAATTAAAGATCGAATTGAGTCAGTCTCCATAAAAGATCGAGGTGAATCGGTTCGAGCCAAATTGTTAAGTTAAGTAAGGCCTCCGTGTTTAAGGTTAAAATCAATTCAAGCTCAAACTAAAAGTTGATCAGTCACGCCTCAACTCAAAGGTTGAGTTAAGTCAACCTGAAACCAAACGTTGAGTTGAGTGAGGGTCGGAGTCAAGTCAAATTAAGTTGGTGTGAGCCGATGATTGAGTCAAATTAGTCTGGATTGAAGGTTGAGTCAAGTCTACACGAGCTAAATTTCGAGCTTAGTTGATGAAGGTTGAATGTCAAGTCGAGTCGACTCAAGCTAAAGGTTAAGTCAAGTCGGCTCGAGTCGAATGTCGAGCCAAGCTGGTCGAAACTAAAAGTCATGACATATCAGCTCTGTCCAGAGTTGAACTATAGATATGGATGACAA